CCAGACACAGACTCGGGAGATTTTCTGCAGATCATCTCTAGACTGAATTATCTCTCTGATATTAAAAGTCTATTTTTCTGGCATCAAAACCCAAGTGTTCAAGAGTGATTCTTCATAGAAACGGCAAGAGCCACCACAGTGATTAGTGAAATGGTGCATAGGAAATGTAGTCCGTGGTGACGTGCAACAGTCAGTGTAGTGAGAGAGTCAATATGATCGACGAGTGACCTCTGGTGGCGATCGGACAGAAGTCCACGGACCGGATTCGTGACAGTACCTCTCCAAGAGCAGGGTTGGGAATCCCTGCTAAAATCCATATGAATGTTCTGAGGAAAGACGATCTCTTCTATATGATGAACAAATTTAATTTAGGCTTTTATTCTATAAACAATCTATAAACATTGATAAACACACATCAAATATGATAAATGGATATGTGCTTTACACGCAAGACCCAATGAGTTTCTTGCATGTTTGAGCTTCTGGGCGGACTTTTTTTGCCCAACCCCTGTAACTTTATGGTATTTTATACATAACATATTATGACCAAAAATATTTTCTATTTATGTGGGTAGTAAAATAAAGTGAAATTGGAGTATTTTGTTTAATGCACATCAAAAACTGAATTAAATCTTATCTTATTATTTGTCATTTATTGTTTTTCCTCATTTGTTGATATGATTGAAACATAAAGTGCAAAGATTTATTTATTTTTTTGCTCAAAGGAAAGTGGATGTGGCAACACTGAAGGATGATATAGTCAAGCTCAAGCCTCAAATTGTGGAGTCACCTGAAGAACTAAAAAAAAGATGTATAATTAGCATGCTCCTTAGTCCCCGGATCTCAATCTCATAGAGAACCTGTGGTCAGTCCTCAAAAAGCGAGTGGACAAGCAGAAAACCACAAATTGTGATCAACTCCGAGAACTAATAAGGCAAGAATGGATCGCCATCAGTCAGGATTTGGCCCAGAAGCTAATATCCAGCATGCCAGAGCGAATTGTAGAGGTTATGAAGAACAAGGGTCAACACTGTAAAAATTGACTCATTGTATTTGTTTGCCAATAAAAGCTTTTAAAACTTATGATATGCTTATCATTGTTTTTAAGTATACCATAGAAACATGTGGGAAAATAATCTACAAATACTGAAGAAGCAAACTTTGCAAAACACAAAATTTATGTCACTGCCAAAACTTTTGGCCATGACTGTATATGTGCGCTCTTTTAGGCTAAAAGATTAATTGAGCTGTTCAAAGTAGCCATGTGATAACAAACCAATTAGCAGAGACACGATCAATACATGTCCTTCTTCTATGTGAAATAATCATAAATACCTGTTTATACTGTTTGATTATGGCCACGAAAGTCGTAGTTGGAAACTGTTAGCCCCAGCTGGCCCATTTAGCCCCTGTGTGCGCAGTGGAAATGCGGCTAATCATTTATAACTGAGAAAATCAAACAAACGTAAACGGGCAAAGGCGGGGCCCCCTACAAGGCGGGGCCCAGGGGCTGAAGCACAGTCAAGCCCAATGGTAAGACTGGCCATGTTAGTAACATTCAACAAATAAAAACAACACTTACAACATAATCTAACATTACAAAATAAACAACACAAACTGCTAAAAGTGAACCAAAAACAAGTTCAGTAGCACAAATAAAACCAACAAGAATTAATAAACTCTACCGCATGACCTATTCATGTTGCATTGCATGCTAGGAACCTTCACAGTACATCTGCACTGTAGAAACAAAGTATGATGCTGTTTGTTTACAATAAATTTCTGAGAGTGCAGTTAGATACAAGAAGTCCCACTGTGAAATTACTGTGAAAGTAATGCAATTATTAACCTGGAATATACTGTAGTTTAAGACAAAACATTTTTTTTACAGTGCAGTCAGTATGTCCAATCTACCTATTTAAAAAAAAAAATCCCATGAGACTGGAAAAAGATTCTAGGCTGAATGAAAAGTAATAACAAAAATCCTTCACATATGAAACTGCTGGATCAGTATCAGCATTTGTCCAGGTGACAGTCTTGTTCAGTTGTTTGGAGCTTGTGGAGTTTCCACTGTCAAATACTGTACAATAAAGGGAAAGATAAAATGCACTAAGATCTGCTTTAATACAAGACAATAAATGAAAGCATTGACTCAATAACTTACTATAGTTTCTTCAGTTTACAGTGTGGATCCTCCAGTAGAGCAGAGAGCAGCTTCACTCCTGAATCTCCTGAATCTCAGATCCAGTTCTCTCAGGTGTGAGGAGTTTGATCTCAGAGCTGAAATCATAGCAGCACAGCCTTCCTCTCCAATACCGCAGTTAATCAGCCTGCAGAGAGTGAAGAACATGAATGATCTGAGATTGTGTTTAAGTTTTAGGGTAAGAGTGTATTTGTGTGTATTTGTATTAGCACTACTTTTTCTATACACCTATGGAAGCATATGGGTAGTAAAATTCATTTTGAAATGTAATTTGCAAAATGGCAATGCAGTATGTAAAATGGCAATGCATTTCTTTATTTAAATTTACATTTTCCCATACATAAGTGCAACGTTTAGTGCAAAATGAAAATGAAAATTAAATTATATAATTTAGATTTGCCATGTCCTACACTAGTTTTAATATGTAAATTAAAAACATATTTTAACGCTTTATAAGTTGCAAAATTAAAATGAAATTGTATTACCCAAATTGATTAGATGTTTAAAATGTCCAAGCAAAAACTGTAGCAAAATTATCATTTAAATGACATTTTTTTCTAAATGCATTTAGACTTACGGGTAGGACACTTGGGATTGCATTTTCATCGTGATACCGCGTGATAATTGTAGCAAAATGCAGTGTGAATTTCAAAATGCATTCTGAACCAAATGTACAGCAAAAGGGTAGCAAAATGGTGATTTAAATGTCTTTTATTCTTCTTAAATGAACTGACACTTACACTTAAGAGGTTTGAAATGCATTTTCATTAAATACCCTGCGATCAGTGTAGACAAGTCAATGTGGATTTGAAAATGCATTCCTAGCCGATCACGCCCCCAACCTGTCAATCATTATATCAAGGCGGGGCTCGGCAACAAGACGCACAATAGGTCAATATTCCCCATTAACCAAACGCTTTTCACCTGCCTCAACATCTCTCTGTTTACACTCCGATTGATGCACATAAGCAAACAGACAGTGCAATTCTACACTTAGGCCTATTGGTGGTTGGGGAGGGGCAAAAGTATAAATTATTATATTATATTATTATTATTATTATTATTATATTAATTAAAATAATTATTATCAAACAATTATTTAAACTGCGTGTATATCAAACTGCGTGTTTTCTGAGTACAAATAAGGGTCATTTTTGGCTTTGGAAACATTTCCCCGATAACCGCAGTAAACAAAGCAGCACAGCACCTGATTTTGCAACTTGCAGCACTTATATTTAATCAATTAAACTGTAGCCTTTTGAAGTGTAGGCTATATCTCAATTTGCATGTATATTTGTTTTTTTTCACCGGAGCACCACCTGAGTCTTTTCCTCCCATCCCATTTCTACCAGTGATCCTTCCCTTCCCACTCTACTAATCACTATTGTAGGTTGCCAAGTTGAGGGGACAAATGGGTTGAAATTTGTATGTGGCGATTGTGTGAGAAGGATGCGTTTCATACAAGTTCTGGCAACTGGGCAACCTTGGAATTTGTTGACGTGATTATTCATATAATGAGGTTTGGGCCATACAAATTACGGGAGTTTTACCGGAGGCAAATGTAGCAATCATATAAAATACGCCCAGTTGGGTTTTTTTATAGAAAGATTAAAAATACGGGAGAAATACGGGAAAATATTTAAATGGGATGATAGCGGGATAGAATGGTAAAATACAGGAGAATCCCAGGAAAAACGGGAGGGTTGACAGGTATGGTTTACACTCCGGTTGATGCCCATGACCATACTGAAAATGCTGCTATTCCTGCCTGCCCCAGATGACACTTCACCAGTCCGATTTAGACGTAGCTGTCACAGAACATGCCACAGCCAAAGTCAGATAACTTAAAGGGTTAGTTCACCCAAAAATGAAAATTAGCCCATAAATTATTCATCCTTAAGTCATCCTAGGTGTATATGACTTTCTTCTTTCAGACGAATCCAGTTGGAGTTATACTAAAAATTGTCTTTGATCTTTCAAGCTGTTTCATGGCACTCAGCGGGTGTTGCATGCATCAGTCCAAAAGCAATTAATTAAAATGCGCCCATCCATAAAAAAAAGTGTCTCACACAGCTCCGGGGGGTGAACAAAGGCCTTCTGTAGCAAATCGATTAGTTTTTGTAAGAAAAATATCCATATTCAAAACGTAATAATCACTTTAATGTAGCTTGCGCTCTCTGTTGTACACTGGAAGCGGTTCCGGGCGGATGACGTATGGAGGTCGGCTTTGCGCATGCACCACTCAGAAGTGATGCACGCGGAAGCGCAGGGGAGAGATCAAATTAATTAACATCAACGGTCACTAATTAGAAGTACAAAACGAGGATTTGTAAAGAAGAATGTCGGAGGATTTTGATATAAGAGACTAGTTTTCCTTTGCTAAAGTAAGAAAAACTTTGCTTCCAACAAACGTTGGTTTTCACGAGACTCACTGGCGCATGCGCAGCACTGACCTCATACGTCATCCGCCCGGAACTGCTTCCAGTGTACAACAGTGGGCGCAAGCTAGATTAAAGTGATTATTACGTTTTGAATATGGATATTTTTCTTACAAAAACGCATCGATTCGCTACAGGAGGCCTTTGTTCACCCCCCGGAGCCGTGTGAGACACTTTTTTTTATGGATGGGTGCATTTTATTTAACTGCTTTTGGACTGATGCATGCAACAGCCACTGAGTGCCATGAAAGAGCTTGAAAGATCAAAGACAATTTTTTATATAACTCTGACTGGATTCGTCTGAAAGAAGAAAGTCATATACATATAGGATGACTTGAGGGTGAGTAATTTATGGGCTAATTTTTGGGTGAACTTACCCTTTAATTTTAAAAATCATGGGCATCAATCTCGGTGTCCGGTGGCTGTACACAGTGAGAGCTCTTGTGGCAGGCGTGTGACGTTTAGGTGCCATGGAACACGCTATATAATACGGATTAAAAGAGAGGAACAAAATATAATGTAAGGTGGTAAATAAGTGTAACGTTATAATTGCACTGTTTACTTATGTGCATCACTCGGTGTGCAGACAGTGAGATGTGCGACGCACCTGCATCGCTTAGGTGCTCTGGTACACGCGATCCATTATAGGAGAAGAATAAAGTATGGTGGCAAATAGGTAAAAGTGTAGAATTGCACTGTCTGTTTGCTTATGTGCATCAATCGGAGTGTAAACAGAGAGATGTTGAGGCAGGTGAAAAGCGTTTTGTTAATGGGGAATATTGACCTATTGTGTGTCTTGTTGCCGAGCCCCGCCTGGATGTAATGATTGACATTTTGGGCGTGTGATCGGCTCGGAATGCATTTTCAAATCCACATTGACTTAAACTACATAATCACCGGGTATTTAATGAAAACGCAATTGAAATGTCTTAAGTGTAAGTGTCAATGCATTTAAGAAAAATAAAAGACATTTAAATCACCATTTTGCTACCCTTTTACTGCACCTTTGGCTCAGAATGCATTTTGAAATTCACACTGCATTTTGCTACAATTATCATGCGGTATCACAATGAAAATGCAATCCCAAGTGTCCTACCCGTAAGTCTAAATGCATTTAGGAAAAATGGTATTTAAATGATAATTTTGCTACAGTTTTTGCTTGGACATGTTAAATATATCTAATCAATTTAGGTAATACAATTTCATTTTAATTTTACAACTTATAAAGCATATATGTTTTTAATTTACATATTAAAACTAGTGTAGGAAATAGCAAATGTAAATTATGTAATTGAATTTTAATTTTAATTTTGCACTAAATGTTGCACATATGTATGGGAAAATGTACAGTTAAATACAGAAATGCATTGCCAATTTACATATTGCATTGTCATTTTGCATATTACATTTAAAAATGAATTCTGCTACCCATATGCTTACATATACACCAGGATCGCTGCTATAGAGATTTAATCTTGCCAGCTGCTAAAACATTAATTTAAATGCATGCTACCCACATGATTCCTGATTGTGATGCTGAACTAGTTTATAGTACTAAATAGGTGATAATGTTAAATTAAGAGTAACATTATAGTATAACTATGACATATCTTTTACTTGCGCTTCTGCAAAGTTCACTTAATTTTTTAGGATTGAGTTTAAATTGTATTGTAGCTCCGTGTTAATCTGATTCTAATTTTCAAGTGATCATTAAATTTAGAATGTGTTTCTAATTAGTAACTAATCACAAATATTGGTTAATATTAATTTAGATATTTGATTATTCTGGACATCCTATCCACCCTATTCTTCCCATAAAAATGGGTGCGGCCATTTGTAAATTTTATGGGTCTTGCTTCCGGTCTCATTCCCTTCTAGCTATTTTTAGCTGCGCAAAACAGCTCATTTTGCGGCTTGATATTGCTAATTGCTGTGTCTTACTATATTATTTTAATGTATTATCTTAATTATGAACACACTGGTTTGCAGTGGAAACAGTTTTACCATTTACTGCACGTTGTAATTCTTCTGGTTGTTCCCCTATAGTGGCTAATGAATGTCTCCAGGTTACGCATGTAACCCTAGTTTCCCGAGGGAACGAGATGCATCGGAAAACGCTATGGGAATGCCTTCAGCATGACCGTGTTCTGAATCACGTGTGTAATCAGTCCAATGGATGGGCGAGACATCATGGGCGGGTGACGTAGCGACCAGGAAGCTATAAAAGCATGTGCTGCGAAACCGGCGACAGCTTCGAGGAATGAAGCAAGCTCTCGCAGGGATGCCGGAAGTATGGCACTGAGACGCAGCACTGGACGCAGACGCAGGAAGTATGGCACTCGTTCCCTTGGGGAGCTAGGGTTACATGTGTAACCTGGAGACATTCCCCTTTAGGAACTCGAGCTGCGTCGGAAAACGCTATGGGAACGAGTATGCCCACGCCGCCAGCCTTACAAATCCCTGCCTAGTGTGGAAGTGCACAGCTAGTGGCTTGCATATCTAGGTCATAGAACCTGACGAACGTTAGGGGCGTGGACCAACCCGCAGATGTCCTGCATAGAAACACCTGCTAACAAGGTCTTAGAGG